TGCGGGTCCGCATCGTCCTGGCGAAAGATCTGCGCCGCCGCCCACAGCCCCTCGCCCGCGGCGCAGTCGAAGTCGAGCACGGTCTGCGGCGTCCATGTGGGCAGGACGGCGTCCAGATCCGCATCCGCCTCCTGCACGGGTCCACGGTGGGACAGACGCTGGCGCACTTCCGAGAACACGGCGAGGATGGCTGCGTAGCGCTGGGGCGAGACGGTGGCGAGGTGGAGGAGCGATGAGCGCTTGGGCGGAATGTGTGCCGCTTCGGCGAGGTGCTCCTGCGGGTCGGTGAGGTGCGCGAGCTTGAGGTGGTCGGCACGGAGCAGCTTGGGATCGTTGGCGGCGGCAATCAGCTGCGAGATCGCCCAGGCGACGTACTCGGGCAGATAGATCGACGAGGTCGACGTGCCTGCGGGCGCAGCGTATGCCAGCGCAGCCTCGTCGTCGTCTCCCTCGCTCGTCGAGCGCACGAGCTGGTCGGCGCTGGATTGAAGCGAAGTCGGCGGCGCGTAGGCGACATGTCTGCTGGTGCCGAATCGAGCGGCGCGCGAGCGGCGCGCTTGGGACGAGCTGAGTCGGAGCTGGGCGTTGGAATCCGACGGCTCCGAGAGCAGCTGCTGCGATCGACCCAGGTTGTTGGCCTGTTGACGTGCGGCGTACGAGGGTCCTGCGAGCGGTGGACCGCCGGCGGAAAGACGCTCGGATGCAGTCGCAGAGGCTTCAGCCGCCTTGGCCAGCGACTCTGCGCGCGAGGCTCGTGCTGACGGAGTCGAGGAGAGCGCGCGATGAGAAAGCGAAGGGCGGTTCAGGCGGGTAGCCTGGCCCAACCTGCGAGTGCGCAGGACAGCCTTCATTGTGCCAATCAGTGACGATGATGGTGGGTCGCAGTGGCGGCTCGTCGAGGTGGAGGCTCGAGGAGGAGGAAGAAGAAGAAAAAAAAGTTGCCGAAATCCGGGCTTTGGCTGCTGAGCAGCTGAGCAGCGCCGGATTGGAAATCGCAAAAAACGTGGCACTTTCGCCGCACTGAGCTTTCGAAAGCGTTGGACCCTGAAACTCCACTTTGTCGTTCGACCACCAGCATCCGTCCTCTCCTTTACGCCACGCCTTGTTGCACCAACATGGACAAAATCTAAGAGAGCGCAGGCCAGCAACGATGTGGAGCGCATGGCCGTGGACCAAAAGGGGCGGATCGGGCTATCCACAACGCGAGTGCTTCTTCTGCCGCACCACGAGCACCATCCTGCCTCCTTACACGCCGGACTCGCCTTTGGACGGGAGCCATGCTGGCCACACCGATGGTCAGACTTCTCAGCTGGCCACAACGTCAACAGCCACCATCTCGACGGGAACGCCCTCCAACTGGTACTGCTCCAGCTGCCACTGCCAGAACGTAGCCACGCAGGATGGAGAGCCGGTGCAGCAATATACGCGCCCAATGTGGGACGAAGCGTGGAATCGCGACCGCAATCAGCTCCTACGACACACGCGACCGAGAGCGCTCACGACTCCGAAGCGCACTGTGGCATCAACAGCACGCTCGATACAGCCTAGCAGCACGCCACAAGATGGTGACCGGTTCGTGTTCTGCCATACGTGCCAGACCAACCAGGTTCTCACGCTCAACATGCTTGCCGACTACCTGCCCAGCGAGGATGATCCCGGGTACGAGGCGAAACTCGCGCAGCTGCCAGAGTACGAGGCATCGATCGCAACCAGATACCCGCCCGTGTGCGCGCAGTGTGCGCCCCGGGTGCAGCAGCGCATCTCGGAGCGCGACGGATATGCGCGCAGCTGGAGCCTGGGCAAGTGGCTCGAGCTCAAGAAGAAGGCGAGCAATGCGGACGTTGCAGCTGCGTCTCAGCTAGGATCTCCCGCTAAGAGCAATACTCCGTTGCGAGCTGCCGCACTCTCGAAGGGCGGCCCGACGCCTGTAGAGCAACAACATGGCGATCCACCGTTGCGTGCAGCGAGCCTTTGGAGCGCGACAAGGACATCGACATTCGCATGGATACTCTTTGCGTTCATCACTGGCAGTACATGGGGCGTCTATCTGCTCGCTGCTTTGCATCCGGGTGCGGTGCTGCGCGGGATGGATGAAATGTGCGAGGCGGGACCGAGGGGAGCGCTGGTTGTGGCGTCGGTGGGGTTGCTGCTGCTACACTGCGTACGAGTGCAACCGCTGCAGCGATCGATTGGATCGGCACACGCGCGCAACATCCGCGTCCAAGTGCACGGCCTTGGCACATGGCGCGCCACGCAGCGGATCATGCTCACGCTTCGCACGACAGTGCTCGTTCTGGCGATGTGGCGATTTGGGCATCCGCATTCACTCATCTCAGCGCTGCGGCGAGTGACTGCGACGGACCGAGACGGAGTGGTGTTGTTGCGGCAAGCGGCGGCTGCGCTGCTGACGAGCGAGATGGGACTTACTGCGTACGCTGCGTGCCAGCTCACAGTGCGGCTGCCGAAACCACTGCAGCTCGTGTCGCAGCCCATCGTGGCGACCGACCATCAGGGCCACTCGGTGACGGATCCGCTCCTCACGAGTCTCAGTCTGGACGATCAGCCCAAGCCCAACTGCTTCGCTGCTGCTTCAACAAGTGGTTCGTTTCAAGACGCGTTGGGCGACGACGGCGTCGTGGCGGTGCCGCGTGTGCTGCGCGATGCGGATGGCGACGCGGTGATGGAAGAGGTGGCAACGTACAGTGCACGACGTCGGATGTCGAGCTCATCCGACGAAGACATGGACGACGTGGCGCGTAGGCCGGGTGCGAGCTGGACCAACGTCGCCGCCAAACCACCACGACCAGCTGCGGGCGCAAGCAGCGCTTACGGCCACTTCCAACTCGGGCCGCAGCGCTTCTGGGAGCCGCAGAATCCGACGGGCCTCGAAGATGTGTTTGGCCGAGCCGTTTCGCTCGACGACGCGCCCGAGCGCACCCGTCAAGACGAGGCTCGCAATGCGTCGGCCAGGTGGAGCCAGTGGTTCGGCTTTGCCTGAATCCCACCACACCGTGGCGCCCAGCATAGCTAGAGCGCAACTTCAATCTAACATGGGCAGAGTTTTGTTTTCGAAGATGTGAAGATGTGAGATCGACGCCGGGCGGAGTGGAGGTTGGGTTTCGGGTTTAGCGAGGCAGCGTGTGCGCAAGGAGAGGCTCGGGCGGAGGATTTTTCGGAAGGATCGTGTTCGGGAGGTCACGGATCGCACGCGTCCAAAAAAAAGAGAGTGGTGGGAATTCGCCAGGCTTCCACCCGGTCCTCGACTGCCCCTGCAGGATCCAAGTTACACAAAGCAGAGAAGCACATGCAGTTGGAAGTGCACAGTCTCACTCCGAGCTTCGAACTTGAACGGAAAGGTTTGGCATCTGAGCATGCTTTGCCGAATCAAACACGGGTTGATTTCGTCAAGACTAGCGGAGTGAGACCCGGGGAGAGGTGGGGGGAGCGATGACGAGGATGCCTGGGTCGGAAGTTGCGGAGAGTTCAAGGCGAGAGAGAGAGAGAGAGAGAGA